GATAATCTATGTAAAATGTTTTATTTATATAGAACGTCTATCGCACTGGAAAACATGCTGAAATAACAATATCGATAATAAGGAAATCAAAGAAATTGATATGGTGAGTGGGTGACGCTTTCGTTTATTTATACGAGCATTACTCATGGAAGAAACAGGAATTATATATTGACATTTTCTGACTCAATATTGACTGCTGGTTTATATACATATTTACCACGATAAGTGAAAAAAAGAGGATCATTATATTCTTCTCAGAGGCAAATGTGAAGAAACAGAAGAAAACACGAGATTTGCCATATAAGGAAATATGTTCAATTGACTGCCTGTGACATAGAAGACAATCTGTTTTGATTTCGTCGTACATCAGTCCAAACTTTCGAAAAAGAATAAGAATTAAGCGATATAATCATCATTTCATGTCTTGTTATTTGCTAAAATATATACTTGTAATACAATTACAGAATAAATTATGAAAGCAATCACCATGAATATTCCACAATAGAGATAGATTCTCTTCAGAATTTATCAAATATAATAGATATTTTATTTACAAAGTTAAACATTGAACTTTATACAACGACTTTCATTAGCATTTCAAAGATAAAATGACATAATGAACATGGTGGCATCCATAGGTATAGAACTTTTCTATAGCTGTTCTTATTCGTTGAATTTCTCCGTTATCATTTTGAGATGAAGTATTAGCACGAGCTTCTGTGAAAGATCGTAAATTCAGCAATGATGACTCTATCCATATATCGTTTTCAGTCATCCGATAAGTAATAACGATAACTTACCTTCCGGTCACACAGATTGCATAAAAAAGATCATCCTCAACCTCAGGATGAATCAATATCGAGAAAAGTTTATTCTCATTTGTTCTTATCATAACGGTCAGTAATTGTGCAAGTAGATGTGATAGGAAGAATATATTATTCAATTTCCTTTTAATCGATTTTATTGATCGATGTTCATCTTGAATTATTAGAATACTATACAACCGTGTCGTATCAAAAATGTATTCGATAGGCAAATGAATTGATTCACTGAATTGAACCGGGATTGTGTTCTTTTTTATTGATATCCACAGAAGAAGAAAAATACTAAATATAGTCTATATTTATATATAAATAATTATAATAATGTCTAAAACAATGATCATTGACTAGAGATAAACTATTTTTTGGGTGCGGCAGTCTGGTCCATTTTCTTTGCAGCTTTCTCTGTGTCTTTGCTTGTTGGTTGTTTCGTTTCTTGATGATCGGGATGCATCGAACCTGTTTCTTGTAAACGCACGTGCCATGAAAGTGCTTGTTTCAAATCATGAGGTGTATGTTGTGCAAACGAATTACGTTGGGCGTCCCGAACATAATCTTTCAACAAGTCTTTATACGTGGGATGAACACATTTATCGATAATGATGCGAGCGCGTTCTTTGGGGCTTTTAGCACGTAGATCGGCTAAACCTTGTTCACTAACCATGATTTGTACTGAATGTTCATTGTGATCAACGTGTGAAACCATTGGTACAAATGCCGAAATCTTTCCACCTTTTGCGACCGATGGTGCCATAAAGATTGAGATGTACTATATGAAAGGAAATAGATTGACATCGATGGTATATATGAGCTTACCGCATTTCGTGTAAAATCCCCACTGCCACCAATTCCATTCATCATCGACGAACCTAAAACATGTGTGGAATTGACATTTCCATAGATATCAGCCTCTAGTGCTGTGTTCATTGTAATCAAGCCCATTCGACGAATGACTTCGGGATTGTTTGAAATTTCCATTGGTCGTAGAATAAATTTTGATTTGAGTTCGTTCAATTCCTTGAAGAATCGTGTTTGGCCTTCTGGTGAAAAGGTCAATGCAGTTGTTGATGCAAACCGAAGTTTTCCACTATCTAATAGATCAAAGATCGAATCTTGAATAACTTCGGTGTACATTTCAATTGATTTGAAGCGATTATCTTTCGCTATACAAGCTAGCACTGCATTCGCTACATTTCCAACACCGGATTGAAATGGAAGTAAACCCTTCGGAATTCCTTGAAAAAGAGAAACGAAGTGTGGATGATTTGAGTGAAAGAAAAAACTCACTTCCATGTTCTACTTCATGAAGAATAAAGTCGAGAATATGATTAGCAATTTTAAAACTTGCTTCATCAGGTTCTTTGAATCCCTTGGATGAGTCGAAATTATTCGTTAGAACGATTCCTTTGATTCGTTCAGGATTCACACGAACATATGGTGTACCTAAGAAGATGATTAATAAAGTAAAGAAATCAACTGTATGAACACTCACCAATTCGATCATCAACATAATCAATGTTAATTGGTCTTCCGGTATGTAATTCAGGTAGGTAAATATCATGAAGTCCTTTCATATCCAATGGATGTGCTTCATTCAATTCAATGTAGATATCCTTTGCTAAACTGAGATACGTTCCACTCATTCCACTTGAATTTGTTAAGTAAATTCTTCCATCAGGTGTCACATCGCAAGCTTCAACAATGGCTACATCAATTGAAGGAAAGATTCCTTCTCTGATGTATCTTCCCACATGACTCAAATGCATGTCGATAAAATTCAATTTTCCCTTATTGATTAATTTTCTCAGATCAGGATGTGATTGATAAGGAATTCGTAGTTTCATTCGACCAGTACGAGCTAAAACACCATCGAGCTCATCACCAGTCGACGCACCGGTATACAAATTTATCGAGAAGTTTTCTGGGTTTTTCGAATTCTGAATTCGTTGAGCATATGCACCGGGTATAACCTTTGGATAACCAGCTGGCGTAAAACCGGATGCTCCAATAGTAATTTGTTCAGGCATTCGTTGTGCGACATCGTCTGCGGACATTAATTTGCTTTTAATGTATGAGTTGATCCGAGATTCATTGGAAAATGATCGACATGGAATAAGATTGAAGAAATGTTTTCGGACGAACATATTTTTTTTATATCTGAAATAACAAAAACGAATGATTTGTCAATCGTTGTTCCATTTTTTCTTTATTTGAAATGAACAACTAGGAACTTTTATGTTTACGCTTCTTTTGTTTTTCTTTCTTCTTTATGATTTTGTCAATCGACGAATCGATTGTCCATCCTTTGTAGCCTTCTAACTCGAGCAGATTCGAGTCAGGATATGGATTTTCCAAACCGACATTTGCTTGATCCTTCTCTTCTTGTTTTCTCGATTCTTCTTTCTTTTTTTTCTTTTTTTCCGGTTGTTGTTCATCGGGTGAAGCTTCTTCTATTTGCTGAACAAGACTCATCGCTTTTTTCTTCGATTTTTCTTTGAAATAATCATGTACCGATTGTTTGCTAGTCACGTACATATTATCCGATTGAGTTTCACTTTCTTTATCAGAATCTTTTTCTTGTTCTACTTGTTCTTCTAATTTACTTGCATTATTCTGCTGAATTTTATTCCAACCGAAAATGCAATCGAGCTCGTGATTTGATCTTGAACTTAGATCTTTGCCGCTCGATTGTTTTTTATATCTAAACAAACGAAAACAAATCGATTGAAAAGTTCGATCGACAAGACCTACGTGAATCGTGTTTTCGTTTGTCGAACAGTTTGATTGAAATCATGAAGAGAAGACGAGTTCGATGTTGGATGAGACTGTTGCAATTGTTCGAGAACATTATCAAAGGATTGAGAATGTGCAAGCCATGTATCATCGTATTTACCGTTAACAAAGCCAACTCCTTTCAAATTAGCTTTGAATTTCATATCAACATGTTCAGTTCGTCCATCTTCATTTTTTCCTAATCCAGCACCTGATGTCCATCCCATTTTTTCCAGCATTCGTTTCCCGAATTTGTTTCCATCTATAGTCAAAAGCAGTACGTCATATTTAAGTACATGTTATGAGGTTAAGGACGAACAACAAACAGAACGCAAGAAAACATAACACACTGACTTATCAAAAACAAAACGAGAGAACGAGAACTGTGCGTTGTTTTGCACAGAACGGAAGATAATTTTATCGAAATTACATCGAAAACAATCGAGTTCAAGGCTAAACTTGGCATTGTCTCTCAATTTGAAAGATTCCCTTACCATCAACCCATTCTGTTTTGTTTTGAACAACATACCGAATTTTGGATCGTTTTTCATTGAGACTCACCATTTTCAGAAGAAACTAATTAACGATCTTAAATAAGAAAAAAAAATGGATATTTTTATTATATAAAGACGAAGACATTTATTTTTTTTTCTCCTCACTTTGCTTTCTCTTTCTTCTCTTGAGAGATTACAATCATACCATTGGTCATCTGACTAACCCATTCCTACAGATAATGACCTAAGTTCATTCGAAAATATTGTAAAAAAAATTCGATATGTTTCAAATTTCTTTTTGATTAAATAATATTTTCCACGAAAATTTCCACTTGTTTTGCGCAAACTTGAAACTTACTTTGTATTTTACTAGCGACATCTATGATAACGTATCTGAAGCTGTCAAAACTTCTGTACAGTGAACTTCTGATAATTTCATACTGACCAAAGTGTTTTGTGATCTCAATGAGATATTAAAATAAAGCGAAGGAATGTTATTAAGGAAAAATTGCATTCAAAGGTCTAAATGGTTATTCGTGCGTATTCATGTAGTGCAGTAATACACAACCTATTCATTGCGATTCGATCGATCTAGTGACATGTTTTTGTACTGATTGCTTAATGCACGTGAAAATATTTGGCTGAGAAATGGACAAAAACAAAAGAAGAACAAACATTGAATCGTGCAGTTGCGTGATAGAAACTATTGTGTTTTATTTCACTAAAAAAATCGCTTTTAATATAATAGATAAGAAATCAAAGAATGAACTGTTGAATAAAAATAGATGCAGTATGTAACGAAATGAATTGCTTAAAAACAGTTTGCTTGCAATTGTAAAGAGCTATGCACTTACTGATTGTCTCATGTGTCTATTCCAGTTTAACATGAGAAAATTGTGTTGATTTCAATAGTCGTGAAGAAAACAATCGAAGTTTACCGATAAACGGAATCAAAAATAACGATGAACAACCAATGGCTTCGCAATAAATCTTATGACTCTCCTCCATCAGTTGAATCATAGCCAATAAACCGGATACAGCACATGTTAAATCCCGTGTATAGCGTTGCTTGTCTTGTCTAGCAGTCAAAAAAAGTAGGATCAAAAACAGAGTAAACCCGCAGAGTAAGTATTTAATCGAATTGACATTGAAAAAGGCAGAAAATAATATTAAACACAAATTGAATCGAAGACGATGAGGAAAACATTGAGGAAGCATATATGAAGCGATCAACCTCATACTTTGTATGATTAATAAGAACAGAAGAAATTGTCTTGATGCTATTTTTGTAATATATTCAGACAACGTTGGCCAAAGTATCCGCTCAGCCACTTCCTCGTAATATACCATTCCACTTTCCGGATTGAATGAATCTACAAATTTGTTTATCGAATGAGCCGATAATAACCATTGAGAATAACAATATATTGGAATACCGACACATACAAGAAACGCTAGACCAATGTACATAAGCAACAACGTACACCGTCCAACAACTCCGTTAAATTTGATTCTTGTTTCGATGAAGATGATAAATCGATTTATCAGAGGCATATTTCTCAATGAAAGATAAGTGCATATTTGATCGATTCGTTGCTCGATTGAATCAGCCAATGAACTAACTGCCCGGCATAGGAGATAAATTACAACAATGAATGGTAGTTGACTTATCAAATAGTTCCAGTTCACGTCAAATGAGTAGCGTAGCAAAGAAATAATCGCAGATTCTTTAATGAAAAATCCTATCGTAAACCACAGACCTAGTTGGAACATACTTTTATCAACGATATTAGCAAAAATACACGCAGCTATATAGACACCAGCTGCCGAAGAGTAAATATAGAAAAACTCATTCGATCTCGGATCGTCTCCAGCGCCGAAATGTTTCAGATAAATCACCTGACCAGATTGAGGATTGGCGACATTTATTATATTCGCATACGTACCCAAATAAGTGTGAACATGTTCTGTTACATTGTAACCATCTTCGATATTCTTTTCACATGATGGATCATTGTGTAATATGTGCCGTGTTCCCGGCGAATCGAATGTTACCGCGTAACCTTTATAAGTACAAGCAAGACTTTCCGCTAATGCTGCTCCTAAACTATGTCCCGTGAAAGATATAACATATGAACTGTCATTGCTATATGGCAAATGTAAAGTTCCATCGTGAAATAGCATAGTACGAGCTGAATCGAACGTATCGATCGCTTGATTCGTGAATAACAAACGTAGATCAGTGATAGGATTGAAAAGAAAGCCTTTTGTCAGATCGGTTCCTCGAGCCGATATGACACATTGATGACGTTCAGCGTTGATATAAGCAGCAAGGAACAGTCCATTTCGATTGGGAAAATCAAGTTTTCGCACATGCCAACCAGGTAGAAACGGGTCCTCAGGTTGATAAACATGCGAACTCATCCGAACGTATTCATAGTGCGTTACATTCGGAAGAATATTAAAGACAAACTTTGGTTTTCTCCTTCGTCGATAAACGCGTAAAACGTATTTACAGACATGATCTTGATTGCTGATGTAATCACCTAATTTCAGATTGTCTTGTACATTTCGATACGAAGCGAATTCAACATCCGAAATGAACTGTAGTTCTTGTTGGTCACATGGAAGTCCGGATCGTTGCTCAATGATTTTTTTCAGCTCATATATGCTTGTATTTAAACTTGTTACAATGTCAAACGATTTGTTCTTTCGAAACCCACTTTGAACGTGTAAGGTAAACGTGCTGTTTGAATAGTTTCGATTTACCTTACTACTTGATAGTAAACACATCTGCGATGATGATAGATCATTGCTCAATGGTAAGAACGACTTGATCTGTACTTCGACAGCGGAATCTAACTCGGTAGAATTAGTGTCTATGATGATCCATAATAGAACAATTGAAAAGCAGATGATTCTAACAAAGAGATGCATTTGTGTACACCTTTTTTAAAATAGGGTAAACGCGTTTAGATTCTTCTCAAACAAATGTGCTCTTTTTGGATGCTGTTACTATTATTTATTTACACGTGATAAGGAAAGCATGCCTCTATACTTTGACTATGGTTTTTATTATCTTATGGTGAGGATGAAAACAATCTTCTATAGAACACTTATGTCGGGACGTCTAATACCAACATGAGCTTTGGTTTATGTATTTTGAGGGTGAGGGTGAGGGTGATGGCTGGATACACCTAATCCACTCACAGTTCGTAGCTTTCTTGGATACACCGACTCAGTTGCATATGGTAACGTAGTGAATTGTCTGCTTTTGGATGAATACCGGGTGTAACGGATTTATGAAGTCACTCCGAAGTTCTTCACAATCCGTGCAAGTTTTTACGAAAGAGAAAACTTTCGTTTGACACATTTCATCTGCGCATGCGTGAGCGAGAGACTTTTCTTTCCACAGAAATGGAAAATGCTCTTCTTATGGTTCCGACGGCACTTATGCCTTTTACTCCTCATTAGAGGAATAGCTGAGTGGGTTGGTGCCCTTTAGTATTTACACACAGAGCATACGACATTGTTTTCTTCTCTTTCAAAAAAAAAGTCATGACTTACAATGCATTACAAAAGGACTTTTTTGACTGCTAACGGGTAAAAGTTCTCATAATCAAGCAAAACGTAACTGTTTAGTCTGCAGTTAACGCCGCATCCACATGTATAAATATTAATGCTTATTCTCAATCTATTCAGTTGTTCTGTACCATTCGATTTCATTACGTGGTGAAACAGATGGTAATGAGGCAAATTGTCTACTTGGCTTTGGTTGTATGTTATAACATGATTGACGGAAATCATTTTCGTGGTGGTATTATTTCATGGTGAGCGTTCTCAGTTAGTATTTATCTACCCTACTGTGTTTTGATTTTTAGGCGTCCATTAAATGCTACGCCGTTCGGTTCTACTGCGGATATTCTTATACATCAACGATATTTCTGGAATCGAATATGGGGTAGTTATGTTCCAAATCGCAATTGCACAGAATCAGATGTGATTAATGAAACTGTTATTCCGGTGAATAGCTTTATGAAATGTTTAGCAAATTGTTCCAGTTCAAATTATCCCAATGCTGGGCTTTCAACTAGAATGACAACTACTGATTGTCAACAAAACCCAATCATTCAGTCTTGGGCTGGTGAAAGATACGATACGGTAACTTTAACTATGACAACATCCATTATCATTGGTTTCAACTCAAGCGCATGGATGACCAATCTTTATCTAGGGAGCGGAAAAGGCTGGTCAATTG